CTCTCTCCCCTCCTCTCTCTCTCCCTCTCGCTCTCCTTCCCCCTCCTCTCTCTCTCCCCCTCCTCTTCTCTCCCCCTCCCTCGTCTCCTCTCCCAACCGAGGGCTCCTCCTCTCTCCTCTCCCCTCCTCTCTCTCCTCTCCCCCGCCTCTCCTCTCACTGCTCCCCCTCCTCTCTCTCCTCGTCCCCGCTCCTCTCTCATCCTCTCCCCCTCCCTCTCTCGCTCTCACCCCTCCCTCTCTCCTCTCCTCCGCTCTCTCCTCTCCTCTCTCCTCTCTCTCTCCTCTCGCCCTCCTCTCTCCTCTCTCCCTCCTCTCTCCTCCTCTGCTCCTCTCTCGCCTCCTCTCTCCTCTCTCGCCTCCTCTCTTCCTCTCCCTCCCTCCTCTCTCTCTCTCTCCTCTCCTGGCTCCTCCTCTCTCTCCTTTCTCTCTCCTCTCTCTCTCTCCTCTCTCTCTCCTCTCTTCATCTCTCCCTCTCTCTTCTCTCTTCTCCTCTCTCCCTCCCTCTTCTGCTCTCGTCTCGTTCCGCTCCTCTCTCTCTCTCTCTCCTCCCTCTCTCATCTGCTCCTCTCCCTCTCTTCTCTCCCCTCCTCTCTCTCTCTCTCTCCTCTCTCTGCGCTCCTCTCTCTCTCTCTCTCCCTCCTCTCTCTCTCCTCTCCCTCCTCTCTCTTTCTCTCCCTCCTACTCTCTCTCTCTCTCCTCCCTCTCTCTCTCTCTCCCTCCTCTCTCTCTCCTCCCTCTCTTCTCCGCTCCTCTCTCCTCTCGGCTCCCTCTCTCTCTCCCTCCTGCTCTCTCTCTCTCACTCCTCTTCTCTCTCTCCTCCCCCCTCTCTCTTCACTCTCACAAAGAGTATTTCCCATTTATTATACACATATGATACATGGTACTAAAATTTCAAAATATAAAACAAAATCCAAGCAGCTACAATATAATATATTTATATACATGTAATATTTATAAGTTATACAACAAATACTTATTGTGAGCAATACACATTAATATAAAGTAAATATTTAATACAAGCACACTGCATATTACTTTGTGAACATTTTTATTAAAATTATTATTATTTAAATAAATAATTTAATTTTTTATAAAACTAATTTAAATTTTTTATAAAAAATACTAACCTCCCAAAATTGGCACGTAGGACTCTGTAGGTGTGATGAAACCAACCTCCCTAAGGCATTATAACCCTCGCAACAAAATCATCTGCCTTCAGTATTGGGCATGGGAGTTGGAAGCGGGGCTAACACCCCCACTCCATAAAAAACTACAGTTTAAATATGCCACAGACCAGACCAAAATCAAATTTACAATGAAGGCTACGACAACGGACAATGAATATTGGTACATGGAATATACAAGGTCTAACAACAAAATGGAGGGAAATTGAAAAAATTAACCTGGACATAATTATTCTTATAGAAAATAAAAAAGGGACAGTGGAAGAAGTTTTGTATAAATATCTTCACATTTGGAGTGGGCTGCCTAAAGATTTAAGAGCCAGTAATAGGGTTTCTTTCCTTATTAAATGTAAATGGACAAAATTCATTAAGCGAATAGAACATATTAATGAAAGGATACTCAGAACAGACATGGACGTTTTTCGTCATCAGATAACTATTTTAGGGATATATGTGGTAATGACAATGCACTTGGATGAAAAAAGTAAGTTTTTTCAAGATCGCAGTGCAATTATAACCAGAATTCCGCATCAAAATGAAGTTCTATCGAATGGGGATTTTAATAGCAGTGTAGGTAGCAGAGAATGCAAAGTAGTAGGTCAGTTTGGGGAGGAAACTGTTAATGACAATGGAAAAAGATTATTAAACCTATGTAGGGAGCATGCACTGTGTGTAGGGGCTACCATTTTCAATCATAAAAACATCCACAAATATATATACATCCAGTATGAAATATTCAATAACTAATTGATTTAGTTGTGGTAAATGAAGAAAGAAATAAGAGTAAAACTGAATGATGTAAGAGTATACCGACACCCAGAATGTGGAACTGATCATCATATGGTAGTGAGCAAACGTGTATTTCCTTGAAGTAAAAGATCTATTGGAAAGATACTGATATTTTAATTCAAGAAAATGACATTTGAAAACAATACTGTTCAAATGTTCTACCAAAACAGAATTAAGCTCAAGCTAGAAAAATCCGAATATAAAAGTCCAAAAGAAATGTACAAAGACTTAAAAAATGTTGTTTTTGAAGTAGCTAAGGAAGCTCTAAGAGTGGAACAAGAAAAAAGGAGGTTCAGGGAGAAATTCAGGGTGAAACTCAGAGATAAATTAGAAAGCATTATTAAGGAAAAGAAAAAATTGTATTTGTCATGGATTTCAAATAGGAATGTTCCAACACAAAAGGAATATGTAGAAAAGTTGAAGAATTAGTAAAAATTGAAGAAAAAAAATGAACTCTGGGAGAGATTATATAGGGCTATATAGAGTACAATAGGATATAATAGATCAACTAAAGCATGGAAAACTTTAAAAAAAATTAGGAAAAATTGTAACAGAAGTCAAGTACAAATAATAACTCTACAAAATGGATTGATTACACTATGGAAAATGACTGTAAGAAAATAAAGATGAATACCAAAAAGATTTGGAATGCACACATTGGCAAGAGTGCGAACCTGAAATCAATTGGATTGATGTAATGAGGGCTTTGGCTAAAAACCAAGTTTCAGGTGCAGGTAACCTTAGAATGAATTTTTAAAATATGGAGGTTATAGTATAATTGAATACCTCAAAAACCTTTTTAACAAAATTGAAGTAAGTGGCGATAGCCCACTAGAACGAAATATGTCATATCAGTTCTATACACAAGAAAGGTGACAAACCCTTTGTGAAAACTACAGAGGAATTAATGTCATAGCATCAATAGCTACGCTATTTTCTAGTGTTCTAAAGGAAATAACATACAGCAAAGAACAAAGCGGTTTCAGAAGTGGGAGGTCATGTTTAGATAATATCCATTGCTCCAATCCAATACACCAGATAACAGAGAAAAATGCATTATATGCATTATTGACAAACATGATGTTTATTGACCTGGAAAAGGCCTATAACAGTGTTCCTAGATGTAAAATTTTATCAGCAATGAGAAAACAATGTTCCAGAAAAATGGATCAATTTGGTTAAAAAAATGTACCAGAATACTAAAGCATGTATCAAAATGGGGAGGAAAATTACCCAAAGTGTTAAAAATAACTAAATTTTTGTTTTAACAACAAGAATGTGGTATCAGAGCCACTTGTAGAATCTGAGCCACTTCTCTTTAATATATACATGGAACAAGTTTGGAAACTTGGTACAAGAAATGTTCTCAAATGGGAGTTCTCATAAATGATACGAGCTTACATTATGTACGTTTTGCAAATGGTAAATTTGATAAAAATGGTACGTTTTGCTTTGTGGCATCAGATCCGGTAGATATGGAGTTTATGCTGAGGAAATTAAAAAAAGAATACGAAATACGGGGACTTAAAATCAAACTTAGAAAGACAAAATATTTATGCATCTAATATTAAAGTTGTCGACGAAATAGCTAAGTGTTAAAAATTTAAATATCTTGGGACTATAATTACTGAGCATGAGAAAGTTGATGAAGATATCATCACTAGACTCGCAATGGGCAGAAATGCAATCGAAGCTCTTCATGGCCTTACAGTGTATTAAGGCAAGATACACAGAAGAATATTCCTCAGTGTAGGGAAAATATATTGACCAGATATGTGGCCTTTAACAAAACACTGTAGAGAAAGAATACAGTAAGTAAAGCACGACTTTATGAGAAGATCATTGCAGATAACAAGGACAAGATAAGTAACGAAGTGGTATGGGAAAGAGCTGGGGTTCAAACAACCATAACCAGAAGACTACAAAATTAATCTCTACTATAGTATTGACATGTCCAGAGGATGCAAAATGAGAGATGGCCAAAACAAATTTTAAATTGGATACCTGAAAGGCAACAAAGAAGAGGCAGACCTGTTTTGAACTGTAAGACCTGTATACAGGTAGTGATGGAGGAGAAATGATTAGAAAATGATCAATGGGAAGACTGAAAAATATGGAAGTCATGAACATCATACTCTTAGGGGTAGGAACCATCTAAGAAGAAAAAGATTATTATTAATTATGAATTTTTAATTTATTCATACATCATTAATTATTATTATTAATAATAATTACTACTACTACTACTACTACTACTACTACTACTGCTACTACTACTACTACTACTACTACTACTACTACATTTATTATTCAATGCACACTCCTAAAATAATTCACAAGTGTGCAATGAAATGGAAAGTTTATCTCACGGAGGAATTTGCACGTATTGTGAATTGTTTGAAAATAGGAGTTAGTTTCAAAACGGGTTTGTATTTGTTGTAAAATACATACAGCAATTTTTTTCTTTTTGAAGAAATAATAATTGACCATCATGGAGACATCCATAAAATTAACAACCAAAGCATGACACTTTACAATTGGCCAGAAATGTAATGGTAAAGAGCAATCTATGCATAATTTAAATAAAATGAAGAAAAGATAAGAATTAAAATGTGAATTTCACAATTACCAATATTCATTGAGTTACTATAAAGGAAATGCTGCTATCTGGCAATTTGTGGTAATTAAGATGTAAACATCATTTGTATTAAAGTATTGATGGTCATAGAGAATAAAACATATGATAGGCACAGTAAATTTATTTGAGGGCTATCAAAAAATGAATATACTTTTAAATAGTCTTTACCAATGTTTTACCTAAAAACAAAAACACTTTATTAAAAGATATACGCATTCCATTTTCCATTAAAAAAATCAGTGTTACAAAAAAAAAAAGATTTAATTTTTTACAAAAATTATTTGCTTTATTACCAGATAACAGAATTTTCCCATTCACAACCACACATCAAAAACATGCAGTGTTGCATCATTAGTACAAGCAAGTAAGACTTCCATAAAAATATTTACTTTTAATGGCTGCATTACTGTCAAATCTCCCATGTTCCCTTATTTTTCACCAGTGCTGCACAAGCAAAGATGATTCATTAACAAAAACATACATAAAATCCACTCTGTAGCAAGTCGCTAAGTTACGAGCAAAACTGCCATATACAGATTACAAAAGAACTTTTGAAGAAAAGAAAAGAATTAAAAAAACAGACATATATATTCCCTTAATATCCTCGCACATAAAAGACCATTCAATATGAATTTTATCACAACTAATCAGTCTCCAACCCTGACCATGCTGCCCATATGACCAACTGCTACTTATATGTTAGTTTTATTGACACAGCATAAATGAACATAATTTTGCTTGGATTATAGAATAGTAAATATATCAATCACGTTAGCAGTTACAATATTGTGTTTCATACTCTATATCATTTGAAAAGGCTAATTTAAATAAAAACATACTGATACACACATACAACATACTCTACGTTGCTTTCAAAACCGATCTTCAATTAGATGGCAGTACTGCGTTCCCACTCACCTGAGAAAATATTATGGCCCAAATTTACCGAATTCTTCTAATACTGGAAGAAAATTCAGGTTTCCTATTCCAAGTGACAGATGCACGAATCGTGACGCACTACTGATCAGCTGCTGTAAACTGTCATTCTTTCACGGCCTTCTCGATTGTACACCAAAAGGCCCCGAGAAAGTGTCCAGCAGAACAAAGCCGCCATAATGGATAATCCCGTGGTTTGGGAGCAAATTATAGCGGAAAATTTAAAATATGGATATATTGGCACGAAAATGTTGCAGGCATATGAAACAAAATTTACCATAATATTGTCAATTTTCAATTGTTTTGTAATATATTTAATATTAAAAAAATACATTTTTATTTACATGAAAAGGGTTATTTAAGATATAACTTGGAAATAATGTGTAATCAATTTCCTATATTAGAGACAAGCACCTTTTTTTTATTCCCAGATTTTTAAATTTATTTATTTACGTCAAAAACTGTGTGTGACGTGCTATGGGGAGAAGTTAATTTGATGTTACATTTATGTCCAGAAGCAAAACAAAGGACCATCTCAGCATTTACACGAGGATCAGGGAAACTGGACGAAAACCTGAACGAGATGGGTGTCATTGACCTAGCACCTAAATTACAATACGTGTTACAAGTTCTAAAGAATTATACAATCCAAATAGTAAATAATACACTAAATTAATATTACTTTCCATTTGGATGCTTGGTATAGTTTCTAATTGTATAGAAACAGTTGTGCAGCAGAAAATATTTTACTTGAGACTTAAACTTTTGTATCGAATTTAATCGTTTTATATAATCTGGCAAGGTGTAAAATAATATACATGCATTGTATGGGAATTGATTTTCTAGTCAGCTATTGATATTGTTATCTGATCAATATCATTACTACTTCGAGTGTTGTAGTTATGGACATCAGCGTTTGCTGAAAATATATTCCCGCCCTTCGTTTTAATTTGCTATTAAAATATTTAAGTAGCTAAATGCGATTAAACGAACAGTTTAATTCAGTGCTGTAAAAACGCTCTAAAAGTTCACATTCATATATTTGCATGAATCATAACTAATTTTTTCACTTTTCAATCCAGATCAGGCGATTAGTGATAAAACCAAAAGTGTAGTTGACCAAGGTGGGGTAACCCCTTCCCCCGATAATGTACATGAATCATCGTCCCCCGATAATGTACATGATGTGAAAAATACAAAACTTTTTTTTTAAATTGTCATGTGTTTCATCAAATTATCATCAATTTGCATCAAGCATATTTATTTTATGTCACTTCAGCATTCAGGTCAGAATTAATTTTTGCAATTCAATGCATCGCGATTTTTGCATTTTTTATATAATTTCATTTAATAATTTTTGCAAATCGATTTTCTCGGTCATATTCTCATCAACATGTAAAATTAAAATACTGGTGAGCCGATCTTGTTCCATAGTTGATCGTATATACACTATGTGATCAAAAGTATCCGGACACGTCCCAAGTGGTGTTGTGTTGTCTTTTTCATGGGGGGGGGCTTGCACCCCTTGTTCTTTTGTGTGACACTATCATGGCACAGTTCTACGTTGATGTTTTAAACATCTTGCTTCCCACTGTTGAAGAGCAATTCGGGGATGGCGATTGCATTTTCAACACGATTGAGCACCTGTTCATACAGCACGGCCTGTGGCGGAGTGGTTAAACGACAATAACATCCTGTATATAATAATTGGCCTGCACAGAGTCCTGACGTAAATCCTGTCGAACTCCTTGGCAATGTATTGGAACGCCGACTTCGTACCAGGCCTCACCGACCTACATCGATACCTCTCCTCAGTGCAGTATTCTGTGAAGAATGAACTGTCATTCCCCAAGAAACCTTCCAGCACCTGACTGAAAGTTGCCTGCGAGAGTGGAAGCTGTCATCAAGGCTAAGGGTGGGCCAACACCCTATTGAATTACAGCATACCGATGGAGGGCACCAAGAACTGGTTAGTCATTTTCAGCCATGTGTCCGAATACTTTTGATCACTTAGTGTACATTTTCAGTCGACGCAATACCGAGAAGCTTCGTTCACTTCTGGAATTTAACGTTTATGGAATGTTTTTGTCACCCGAAATTCCGAGTGGGTATTTTACCCCCTCGGAACTATTCGTGTAGGTATAGCTACTCACCATAACCACATATATCCCCCGGGGCTGTTTCTCTCTTTTGCATGGAGAATAAATCTCAGCCTCAGCGGTGAAAGGCGAGTACTCTGCTTGAAATTTATTAATTCAAAGTCATACAATGTAATAACAATAAGAATTATTTCAACACAGTAACAACTGTCTTAAATATATTTATATTTGTATTAAACAATGGATCACAGACTAGGAAAATAATTCTATACATTCTCTTACTCCATAATCAAATATTTGGTGATTTCCATATATATAATCAAGCTATTAATTTCACATATAATAATTTTTATAGAAATAAATATTATTTATTATTGTGTATTAAGTTATTTTAACGCCTGATAACATACATTGTGTGAAAAATGTATAACGTTTGACAAAATTTCTACTAATTGTTACATTACTTTATGAGTTTTAATTCAAATTCTTCAAAGAATTAGTCACTCTGACCGAAAATAAATGTTGGGTCTCCTGGTTTGTGTCCAGTTTTTCTGATTACTGAGCTACCGAGATGAAATTGTTTTGAACTTACCAATTCAATATTTTAAATTATTTAAATTCATTTTTATAATCTCTACCATAAAGAAGGTTTTAAAATTATTTTTATGTAATGCTAAAACCAAATGAATGTAATTAATTTTTAAAAAAATTAAAATTTCGTACACTGAGAAAGAATAAAGAAGAAAGTTATTTTATAAATTATATAGTGTTCATTACTATAAGTTTATTGAATACTACTATTAATACTAAAAATTTCATCATAACTTGATACAAGAGTTTCTTCAGAAAAATATTGTTCAAAAAAATTTTGAATTTAAAAAATCAAATTAACACTTCTATGTACACTACAAAGTACTGCTACTGCTACCAGAGGCGGTTCTATCATAAGGTCACATGGTCACGTGCCCCCCCAAATTAATAGTATTTTAAAATTCTTCATATTGCTCTATCACCTTGCAACTTGAGGAATATGAGCGCGCTATTTTTATTTTTTGCTCTGAAGAAATGAACGAGATTCAGTAAAGGCATTTGTGTGAGACCTGGCAATAGGGCTTTTGTTACGGGAAGCTCGCGCCGACTACCTCGCCGTTTGTCGGGAGCGGTCTTCATAGAAATGCAGGATTTGAGAGGGGGTAGTGCAAGCATATAGCGTGCGCAGGTCACAAATTCTGTATGACCGCTCCGTCAATCCTGCCGTAGCCAAGCGCCGCAGTGTAGTGTCCACTCGGTACGGCCCCAAGAGATTTGTTAGGATACTTCCTTTTTTCAAGTGCTTCTACGTCATAGTAATTAAGTTTTTTCAAAGTGTAATTGTGAGTGTCATGCCAAACAACATAAATGAAGAAAGAATGAAGAAAGATATTTACAAAACAGTAAGGTATTTTCAAAAATTAAGTGCGTCAGGTATGCTGATTGAGTGAATGTCACTTTCATTATCTATTTTCATGTCTTATGCCTGGAGCGGATCCAGCCTATCTTTTTTTGGGGGGGGGCATCATAGATAAATTATAAATATATTTGTATGTGTGTGTGTGTGCGTGCGTGTGTGTTCAATTTTTGTTTGATCTTTCGTTTGAATTGCCTGAAGATGGGGAAAATGAATTCCCCGAAAAATCGCTCTGAAAACAATAAACTTTAAGTGATATAATTGCCCAGAAGATTGAATAATCTTTTATGACCTAAAAACTGTCCTTAAAAACTGTCTTTAAAATTTGTTTGACTTTTTTTTTATACTCAGACGGATCATGCCGATTAGGCCTATCTAATATATGTTGATGAGTGTAATTGACACACGAATCGCCGAAGAAAAAAATTCATTGATTGTTAAAAAAGAAAAGGATACTTGCGTTTAATTAATTTATTAAAAAACATTTCATAAAGATAGTTCACAAGACAGTCACTGTGTACAGTACAACACTATAAAATCGGCTCCACTCAACATACAACCATTCACCTGCAAATGATATTTTTGAGATGTCATTTCTCTTAAACATCGACAAAATGTATGTTACATATTACCAGGTAATTGTATGGGAACATATGTGCAATCTATTGCTGCGAGAACTCTAGAAAATATAGAAATTTCATATAAGTTTTCTTGGAAGATTTCTATATTCATTTGAAACTTCACGAACTCACTACACTTGAAGCAGTATATAGCTCACTTCAATGAAGTCTCTAATTACGATAAAAAATGATACCATTTCACAATAACGCAGAGTAAGAAGAAGTCGTTTCATTGGTGACACCTCAGAATTTCTAACAAAAAACAAAGTATATATTTTACTATTTTTAAATAAAATTAATTTAAAAGGACCATTACTTTACCAGGGCATTGCAGAAATATAAGACGGTGTTCACAAATCATTTGTTTATATTTTCTGTTCTATCAAAGACATAACTTTGTTAACTGTAGTCTTCTTTAACCTTAAACGGGATTTGCAATCTTTTTCGTCAAGGATATCAAAATATTCTGGCCGACATGTCGTCTGGGCAGACGCTCTAAACCATCAAAGAATTAGTCTTCTATCTCTATTACGTTGTCCATCACGTAAATTTTTATATATGTAGTTTGTCGATGAATACTGCTTCTTTAATATATTTTTGTTGAATGGTGATTGTTTTATATAGATTAATATATTTGTTTTAGATGTAAAGAATGGCTTCAAGCTATTGGAAATCCTGCTCTTCTCAATCATCTCACGCAGTAAATTTATATGCATGGAACAGCTTTATATCTGCCACTCAAAGGACATGAGATCATGTAAATCCAGTTAAAGGGAAGTAAGTTCTTCATTTCCTTCGATGTGCATTCAGGCATTTCAATAGTTCGCCGTAAAGTGATTCTCTAATGTTTATTTTCAATTTCAGATAACCCGATTCAAAATTCATCACAAATTTCAGTGGATGTTACACCTGGTAA